GGAAGTCGAAAAACACATTCTAGTCAACTCTAGGTTCCTGTTTCTTCAGGGAATGTTGACTTAGTACTATGGATATGGTAAGTGGAGTTACCAAGGTAAGATTTAAATACACCTACCTCCATAAACTAGAATAACTGGCTGAAGACAGGAAGAGAAAAGTCACATCCTTCTTCTCCACGTTTCTCATTTCTTGGTGCAGTAGTGAGCTAGTCCTGTAGATGGGTGGTAGTACTTAGGGAATCACATGATGAGGAACAAGAAAAGATGGCTAGAATAAATATTTGATGCCAGGAATATGAAAAAAATATTCTCCTCAATGAGAAATGCTTGTTTCATGTAGGAACGATGAGTTAACACTAATTGGGACTAGAGATATCTCTGTGAGGCACTGATTGAATTTCCTTTGGGTATGTGCTCAACAGAGGGATTGCTGGATCACATGGTAGTTCTGGTTTTGATTTGATTTTCTGAGGAACCCTCACACTGTTATCCATCATAATTGTACCAACTTACATTCCCACCAACAGTGTACAAGGGTTCCCCTTTCTTCATATCCTTCCCATCACCTGTTACCTCTTGACGTTTGGGTAATAGCCCTCCCAACAGACATGAAGTGAGATCTGATTGTGATTTTGATTTTCATTTCCCTGAGTATTACTGAGGTGGAGCACTTTTAATATACCTCTTGGCCATTTGTATGTCTTTTGTGGAGAAAGATCTGTTCAGATCCTACGCAAATTTGTTAATTGGGCTACTTGGTTTTTTGCTATTGAGTTGTGAGTTCCGTGTATATTTTGGATACTGACCCTTCTCAGATATATGCTTCACAGGTATTTTCTTTCAATCTGCCGACTGTCTCTTCATTTTGTTAATTGTTTCTTTGGTTATGCCGAAGCCATTATGGTTGATGGAGTCCCACTTGTTTATTTTTGTTTTTGTTTCCTAAACTTCTGATGTGACATTCAAAAAATAATTGCCAAGGCTAAAATGGATGACCTTTCCCACTCTATTTTCCATTAAGAGTTTTATGATTTCAGGTCTTATGTTGAGGTATTTAATCCCTTTTGCGTTGATGTTTCTATATGGTGTCAGGTCAGGATCCACGTTCATTCTTTTACATGTGGATATTCAGTTTATTCAGCACCATTTATTGACGAATCCCTTTTCTAACTCAAGAATGAAACTTCAACACCCGATTCAGTTACCAGCCTGTCGGATTGCTATATAGACACTACTGGAAAATCAACACTGCGACATCAACCCTATCCTGAATGGCCAGACTGCCCTATATATTTCAGCTTGCTAGCCCCCACAATGTGTGAGTTGATTCCTTAAAATAAATCACCTAAAACATATATGCGTTATTTATACATAAATATTAAATAACACCACTTAAACATATATGACATGGAATATTACATATCACACATGCACACACGTGCACACACGCAGACACATATATCCCGTTGCTTCTGTTTCCCTTTCTGTGGGGAAGCCAGCCTAATACAGCTGAGCACGTTTATTCACTGATCTCCAGAGGCTTCAGCCGGTCATTCGAATCATGAAAACAGAAAATCGAGGGGAGCTATGTGAACAGTTGGAAAAGAAGTTGAAATGGACAACTTTCTGGGTAGTAGCCAAGAAATGAACGGACTTCAGGGTACGGCAGAGTCTAAGCAGCTCTGGGCTGGTTGAGAGGTGCAAGATGGCACACACCTCCCTGGGCGAGCTCATCCAGAAGTGCTGGGCGACTGCAAAGGGAAGGCTCAAGGCCAGAACAGGAGTTGGAAAAGTCCGATTTCAAGTTGGGACCCAGCCGAGGTTTCTCAACCTGGCAATGCATGCAGCCACCTTCTAGCAGAGATCTGATGCCACCCGGCAGAAGATTGGCGTCTCAGAAGCCCGGCTCCAACCAGGTGCCCAGGATGCCAGGGAGAAGCTTTTGCAGGAAGCCGCCTGGTTGCGGATCAAAGGGCAAGTGCGGGATGGCAGAGCGATTTTGAAATCCTGCAGACAGCAGAGCACAGTGCTGCAGAAGCCCCGCCAGCTTTCCAAAAGCCTGGGGAAGATCAGCTGAAAGAGGAGTTCCCCTGCTCACTTCATGAGACACCCATTGGGACAGTGAGCCCTGGGTGACAACAGAGGCCCTGGAAAGCCGCCCATCGTCAGGGCAGGGCGGTGCTTCGTGGCCCGCCGCTGGGGGGCGTGCCTGCAGAGGCCGTGGTTCTGCACGGCCCAGCCTCTCACGCGGCACCGCTAATCAGAGAGGCCGGCTGCTGCTGCGCAGGCGCATGCCCCCAGGCCCTCAGAGCCGTGTCCCCAGCGGGCCACGTGTGTGCGGTCTGACGGGGAAGGGACCGTCCATGTCTACCCCTCCTGCCCTGCCGGCCCCCCGTGAGGACGGACATACGGTCCCCTGACGGTCACCAGGGGCGTCCGGGCCTTGAGATTGTCTCTAAGGTACGTGTATTTCATCATTGTGACACATTTCCTGTTATGTCGACCAGTGTGCGTGAACATAGACATGCATATATGCATTTATTAAGGAGAGAAGTTTTGCATCAGAAAACATAGCATGTGAAGTGAATACTACACCAGGTACAGTGGAGAAATAAGTCATGACACTTATTTGGACGACGTATAGAGAAAACTAGGAAATATGAATGGAGTATTTGCGGTGGAAAGATAGGAAGTGTAGAACGGGTAGAACAATCGCAACTTCTGCAGAACACATTCCCATAATGTCAGAAATTCCATTAGAGTTTGGAAATATCAGGAAAACTTTGGCGTAACGAGATTCGTGGAAATGACGTAGAAGAATAGGCATTCACTAGGTAATATATCCAATTATGCTCTCATGTTAACAACTATAGTGTAACACAGTACGTGCTCGCACATGCACAGTGATGCATAGGTAGTGTGCTGGAAGCACGTACACCATCGTCTTCAGAGTAAGGTGCCATCCCCTCTACACATCTTCCTATGCATGTCATGTTCTCGCAAGCCCATTCAATGTGATTTGAGAATCAGAAAAACACAATAATGACAAAAACCCTACTTTCGTTACACACACACAGATGGTCACAATCACACGACAGATGTTAAACCCATGTGGTTCCCCCGGTTCTGACGTCCAAAGATACTAGCATATGTTGACATTTGTGCATGCGATCGTCTTTGCACCTCACTCTATGCACACGTGTCCTCATAACGAGCATCACAGCTTTGGTGTTGGGAGACAAGAGTTTTGTACCACAGTATAGAGGTGTAGGTCGCAGCCAGTGACCGGTGCCTGCAGCAATCCCTACTAACGGTGACAGCCAGGAATCATCAGGATGACCTCACAGACCTCTGGATTCTGAGTCATGCTCTTGAACATGACATAGGGCTGGCTCCCAGCATCAGGATGTAGGAGATGGCCTCGGGCTTGTTGGAGTGGACAGGGCAGCATGGGCACCCTAGGCAGGACGAACGAATGAAGGATTCTCCCAGGTTGAAGCCCAAGGTTCCCAGAAGGCACAGAAATGAGATCCCTGACATGACACCCACGTCCCCATGTGGATGCTCTTCCACATGCAGTCATTACAATGAGGTTACACGGTGCCTTTGGACTGTTACAGAACTCCTCTAGCACCTTCTGTATTTTTCCCCGAGTGCTTGCCATTCATCTACCCCTCTGTCTAAAGCCCTCTTTTTTAATACCTTGTTTTATCTCATCAATCTCCTTGAGCAGGGCGCTTCTAGTTTCACAAAAGGAATTCTTTCCTGATACGGTTCTTCTTTTCCTTTTCCCTATTCCAGTCTCCTCCAGTTCTTTCCACTGAAAACACGAGTGCAAGCATCTCAGGGAGAACCAGGTGGAGGAGAACAACCCATGCAAGCTGGGAACGGTTTGCAGTCCGGAGTCAAAGGAGGCGTTTCAGAGCAGCGGTTTTGGGGGAAGACCTGACTCAGCAGTTGGAATGACAGCCTGATACGTCTGCCCCTCTTCATCACCTCTTGGGAGATGAAACGATTAAAGTGAAAAGCACAGACATAACGGCCCTTACGAAGTCTGAAATGAAAGGCATGGGCTCCTCGGCAGGGGCGCAGTGGAAGGTCGATGCCCCAGAGGGACAGGAAAGGGGGTGCAGAAGTGTCCTGAAAGTGGTACCGGAGAAGCTGGATGAGAGAACAAAACTGGGCCGAGGAAGAATAACAGATCACGAGCAAACCAGTACAACCTCCGAGTTGAAAAGCACAGACATAACGGCCCTGACGAAGTCTGAAATGGAAGGCATGAGCTCCTCGGCATTGGGGCAGTGGAAGTTCAATGCCACAGCGGGAGAGGAAAGGGGGTACAGGAGAGTCTTGAAAGTGGTAATGGAGAAGCTGGATGAGAGAAGAAAATCGGGCCAAGGAAGAAAACCAGATGACCAGGAGACCAGTCTTCCCTTCCAGAAGGTAGCTCAACAGCCAGCAAGTAGACCCCCTCGTAAAAAGTATGGCAAATGCAAACGGGTTGTTCGGAGGAGTGCTGGGAAGAGAGAAGCCTCAGGATCACTGCCAGTTGGTGCAGAGAGTGAGGATGCCCCATGGGGTGACAAATCATGGGTGCACACGACCTCTGCCCCTGCTCCAGCAGAAAGGCAAATAAAGGCATCACGGAAGTCCAATGCGTGCCACGATTTCCCGACACAGTCGGGACACGAGGGTGAGAAAGAGGGCAAGGCAAAGGCACAAGCCTCCTCGGGTACATCCCGGCGTCCCACAGTCCTGGAGGAGGGTGCATGTGCTAATGATGGACAGGTGGCCCCATCCCGGCCACAGGGTCTCATCTCCACTGTGCCCATAGCTCTGAACACAGAGGCACTGGACACCTGTCCAAAGACCAAGGCTACTCGCTCTACGTGCTCTGCCCTCTCAGGGAATGCTGAGGACCCTGGAGAGGGGGCTTCGAAGCCAGGCATGGAAGGGGCGGCAGGTCCTTCAGGGTCCCCTGACCCTCCGGGTCCCCTGCCATGAGGCCGCGTTACTCCCTTCGTCTGGCAGACCGAATTAGGAAGCTACAAGCGGCAGTTGCTTCAAAAGGACTGCAAGAACACCGACCTCCTGCTGACTCCATGTCTAGGAATCCCATCCGCAAGGCTAAAATGGATGGCGGTAAACGAGGGGGACAACCTGCCAGTATGGCTCTGACACAGGAGCCTCCTCCAGTTGAAAGAGGAATGATGGTGTGGTTTAAATTTCAAGACCACCCATTCTGGCCGGCCATGGTGAAGAGTGTCAGCGCGTCGGAGAAGACCGCACGGGTGCTCTTGATTGAGGCAGACCTGTGCCGGGAGAGGAGCGACATCCGAGTTCCTCTTCGAAGACTGAAGCACCTGGATTGCAGAGAGAAAGACAGACTCCTGCAGAGAGCCAGGAAAGTGCACGAGCAAGGTGTTAACTGGTGTTTCTCCCTCATCTCCCACTACACACAAGCCATCGGCCACGGTTCCTTCGTGGGCTCTTTCCTGGACTATTATGCCGCCGATGTCAGCTACCCACTCAGGAAAGCCATCCAAGAGGGCCCGCTGGAGATTGACTTTCCAAAGGTGAACTATGCCGACCTGGAAGACTCTGAGGAGGAGACCTCCGTGCACAGGAAGAGGCCCTGCAAGAGGATTCTCCCCGACAGGATGAGGGCCGCTCGGGACCGGGACAACCGCAAGCTGGTGGACTTCATCGTGAAGAGAAGGGGGGCCGACCACCACCTCCAGGACATCTTGAAGGGCAGGAAACAGTCCAGGTGGCTGACATCATTTCTGAATTCACCTAGGCACGTGCTCTGCGTTGAAACGTACTTGGAGGATGAGGACCAGTTGGATGTGGTGAGGAAACATTTACAAGAAATCTACACACAAATGGACAACACCATGCTGAGTCTCATAAGAGACGACAAAGTAAATTTTGTTCTGGAAGTTCTCCTGCCAGAAGCAATCATTTGTTCCATCGCAGCACTTGATGGGCAGGATAACCAGGGGGCAGAAGAAAAGTATCTGCGAGGGCACCCCGTGTACTACAGTGAGAAAGTGCTATTTAACAGAAACGTCATAAAGGAAAGGAGAAAGAGATCAGCAACCATGAGGACGGCTAACTAGGTCTCCTCCTGTGCTCCTACAGCGACAGACCCTTTTCCTTCTATCTTATTGTCACATTCCCATCCTCCTTCCAAATACGATTCTAAAAGAGAAGCAGAAAGTTAACGGGTCACCTGCGCCTAGTCCACATGTGTGTCAATGAAATCCCTGCGTGCACTAGACCTTTGTCAGCCTTGTGCAAGACACTCTTTGACTCTCTCTCTCCCTGAAATTCCACCTACCACAATAGCTCTCCCTCAATGGCCGAGTGATTTCCTGAAACGGACGGTCTCCCGGCTGTCTTCAAAACTGACGGTGACTGGATCCTCTTCCGAGAGCCATCTTCTCCCACGTGAACGGCAGCTAGCCTCATCGTATTCACAGTCTAGCTACTCTACACCTATGAGCCAGGCTGACTGTGTGGGAGCCCATCTACTCTCATATAAGTTCGAGGAAAGCAAGCACTTTTTTCTGCACCCTGTACCCCCAAAACATAGTCATTTTTCTCAAGCCCACTGAGCTTCATCTTCCCGCTTATTCGTTGGCTAGCTCCAACAGGTTCGATCAGTACAAATGCACACTGGCAAGTCATTCCAGGAGGCTGGAGCAGTAGATGGGCCAGGGCTGGGAATCTGAAAATGAGTTTTAGAAACAGCCTCCCTTCGGCAAAATGTGACCCTCTTTGGAAGAGAATTAGTTAAACACACTCAATGGAAAGAGAACTTCTGAAGCCCATGAATAGTTATACTACCTTAACACAAGGCGTGTTTTTAGAATAAATGTTGGGAAAGCTAGTTTAGTTTGAAAACTTGATGGGAAAATAAACATTAAGGGCTTAACAGGAACCTGAGTGCATTTCTAGTTTAGAGGAAGTCAACTGCTCCCGTGAGACCATGCTGTGTGTTCACATGGCCACGTGTTGCTGTAAAATTGGCAAAGTACCTGTGGATTCACAATAAATCCATGGTGTCTGTTACCTTGAACTTCTGCTTCGTCATACTTGAGACCGTACCAGTTCGTACGGGGCGTGTCTGAGATCATATATAAACGCAATTGCAAAGAAACCATATTTGGGAAATTATGATGGTTGCTGTTGTCATGGGTTAGAGCTGATTAGAAATGTTCTTCTCATTCTAAACAAATATTCACGTTCATGCTCGATTTGGTATAATTTTAGAAGAACATCTTCCATGTCGTGTAATCGTCAGGCCCGACAGAAGCCTCTTTGGACTCTGCCCGTGAGAGAGCAAGGCTCCTGGGGCATACGGCCTAGGCACAGTCCACATGACATCTTCCTGGTCCAGGGGATTAGTAGAAAACACAGCACCTCCATGCTCTGTGTGGACTTCATACACTGAGATGGCAAGCTTTAGTTACGCTCTAACACTGAGACTCTCTGAGTCCAATCTATGAGCCAACTGCTCATCTCCATGATCTGACAATTTCTTTACCAACTCGTGCAGCCGTTCACTCACCCATTCATTCACTCACAATATCATAAGTCAGGAGAGCAAGTACGGTGGTGTTTCTGCTCTGAGGACAAACTTCAGATGTCCTAGAAGAGATGGAAATCTGGAGACCCAGGTGGTAATGAAATTCTTAAGATAATGAGATATTCTAGCTCATCCTGTGAGTGAGAAATTTTTATTGGCATCATAGGCTGACTGCCTGAATTCATAACCAGACTACTGGGTTTCCCAATGCTTGTGAGATCATGGTTTTCTTTGCTTCAGGTGAAGAGAGGTGGCCTCGTGTCCCTTGGATGTCATTTCATCCTGGGGCATCTATTCTGCTCCTCTTGAATCAAGGTCACTGAAAGTGATTTGGGGTGTGGGGGTGGATTTGTGGCTAATTGGACTCCGAGATCCCTTCTAGCCTTGCTGGATCTCTATCAGAGGTGTGTGTTTAATGGACAACTTTGACTTTCCCCTGGCCTCACTGACTAGGTGAAGGAGACCTCCTCTCCTCCAATCATAAGGGCTGGACATGAGGCCCTGATGCTAAGTGTTGGTTGAGCGAGCGACACAGAGATGCTGTTCACAGCTTTCTCAGGTCTCTATGTCCATGTAAGCACCTGACAAGGAAAGAGTGGGTCCTTAGAAGGGGGTTCATCATAGTCACCCTCAGGGAGTCAGGGTCCCCATGCTCCTAATAAAATTTTAGTGTCTGGCATACTGAAGCTTTCTTGGGTGCCTGTGAGAGAGGATCCAATCCTGCTCAGCCTCTCAACAGGCTCCCCCAAGGCCCCACTTCCTGCCCAGACATCTCAATTTGGAACACATTGCTAGGATGAGCGGGGGCCTGGCCTGTTCTGGACCTACATGGAGCTGGTGCAACACTAAGGAAGGAAGAAGAGGAAGGAAGTCTGTTGAGTCAGGTACAGAGGCATTGTCAAAATGAGGTGACCCACCTGCGATCCTCCCCTTCTTCTGCATTGACCTTATCCCCCTTGCCTCACAGACTCACACCTTGTCTTTACCTGGCACAAGTCCTTCCTCAGCCCTTCTCATGAGCCCCGGTTCTTCTCCACCCTCCGTCTTCTTGCCAAAACCAATGCCTTTCTGCAGTCTCTCTGGTGTCCTTCCGGGTGCCCAAGGCAACGATTTAAAACCTGGTAAACCACACCACCAAAACAGTGCATTGTTACAATTCGTGAGCACCATCCTCGTGTACTTTCTCAGATTGCCATGCTTGAGATACCAGTGATCTAATGAGTATGCTTGGTATAATACAAAGCCTGTTTGTTTCCCAAAGATGCATTCACCCTGAAAGATAAATATCTGTAGAAGGCATATATCTTTAGTGGGATAGCTTGGAAAAACGTGGCTGGAGATATGTAAGGACATGTCCTTTCATTTGTCCTATGAGAAGCTGATGTGAAGGAAGAGGCATGTCAGCCATTCCTTGAAGAAGGGATGCCTTTGTTCTATAGTTATGTCTTCTGGTCCTAGTTGTGAGTTTTCTATTGTCCTGCCTTGTTTTTGACAGAGCCCTTTTTTTATTTTATTTTATTTTTTTTGACAGATCCCTTTTTATGATCACCTTTTATCACCACGATTTGTTGTGCTGGCGATTAACTAGTTTAAGGGACGTTGGGAGGGGAGACAAAGGGCAAGGGAATTGGGGATGAGTTTAGACATTAAAAGCACACATGGAGCTGGGGATACTCTCGGGAGAGTAGTAAGAGGAGGTGATAGATTCGTACACTGATTGGGGATGGGTTTAGACATTAAAAGCACACATGGAGCTGGGGATCCTCTGGGGAGAGTAGTAAGAGGAGTTGATAGATTCTTACACTGATTGATAATCTTGAATTTTGTCTAGACTGAGAACTTGGATGTAATCCCTAGCCAGATTAACGTCAGTCAAAGAGAAGAGTGAATCCAGTACAAAATCTGACAGTATTTCATTCATAATGAGTTAACTCACACGACAACTATTGGGCACCTACCATGGTCCAGGCACGAGTCGAGGCTGTAATCCAAGGATAATAATATCGGTCCCTAATGAGCAATCTACGCAAGAGTGTTTCAAAAATTTCACGGAAGCATGCCTGAGCTTCGAGAAAATTATGTTCAATGAACCAAGCCAGGCCCAGACACAGAAACAGTGCATGTTGTCACTCTTGAGTAGGAGCTGAAAATATAAATTTTTTTTCCCTTTTTGTCTTTTTTTGTGACCGGCAACGGATCGCAACCCTCAGTGTTGCTCCCGCACCTCGCTCAGCCAGTGAGCGGCCGGTCTGTACGTGGGATCTGAACCCTCGGCGGGAGCGCCGCCTCGCTTCCCAAGCGGCGCACTGTAGCAGTGCACCATCAGGCCGGCCCTGAAAATATAAATTAATGGGAAGGAAGAAAGAAGGAAGGAAGTAAAGAAGGAAATATCTAAGTAACACATTGCACTTTCATAAGGAGAGCGCGGCACTGTGGGTAGGAGAGTGGCAAAGGGGGAGGGGGAGAGGGCAAGCGAGAAATTGATGAATGGACACTAAGAATGATGACTTTTTTATTGATTTATTCTGATTTGATCCTCACACACTGTACACAGGTATTGATATTCACCTCTGTCCCTCGCAAATATGTATAATTAATTATGTGCCAATACGGAAAGTGTTCCTGGAAAATAGAACTAAAAAGTATCAAGAAACGTTCCGTGAACCTTTTGAAAACCACTCATATATTTAATCCTTCCAACAATTTTGCGAGATTGATGGGGTTATCCTCATGTGCGGAAAAGGACTCTGAGAACCTGGGATGTGAAGTAATCTGCTCCAGACCACCTACTGTCAGGGCCCAAGTTTGTCAAACTCCGAAGCCGGTCTCATTCCCCAGTACGTCTTATGGCCGAATAACCAGGGAAGGGCTAAGAGGTTTTTTGAGGGTTTGGGTAGGTGGGATAAGGAAATTAGGAGTGTTTGTTTGAAACTTGTCAAGCCTTCACAGTAGCGAGAGATTTGTGTAAAGATCCTCATGGATTCATCCCCCCATAATGTGTGTGTTATTTCCTCAAAATAAATCACCTAAAACATATATACGTTATTTATACATATATATTAAATAACAACACTTAAACATATATGACATGTAATATTACATATCACACATGTACACACGTGCACACACACAGACACATATACCCCGTTGCTTGTTTTTCCCTTTCTGTGGGGAAACCAGCCTAGTACAGCTGAGCACGTTTATTCACTGATCTCCAGAGCCTTCAGCCGGTCATTGGAAGCATGAAAAAAGAAAATCGAGGGGAGCTTTGTGAACAGTTGGAAAAGAAGTTGTAATGGACAACTTTCTGGGCAATAGCCAAGAAATGAACGGACTTCAGGGTAAGGCAGAGTCTAAGCTGTTCTGGGCTGGTTGGGAGGTGCAAGATGGCAGACACCTCCCTGTGTGAGCTCTTCCAGAAGCACTGGGTGGCAGGAGTTGGAAGAGTCCGATCTCAAGTTGGGACCCAGCCGAAGTTTCTCAGCCAGGCAACGCGTGCAGCCACCTTCTAGCAGAGATCTAATGCCACCCGGCAG